CTTGGTCGACAGAACAGGGAACTAATGAATAAGTACCTGCTTCGAACAGGCGTTGACCTCGTATGTCCACTACGAGGTTGTGGCGACTTAAGAAATCTGCACCAACGAGGGGACGTTGTACATCAGCTGTAATAACACGAACAGAGTAGAGTCAGCCGTTATGGACGTGTTAGTGCGCCGAATGAAGAAATGTTAGAACCATTAGCAGCTTTTAGTGTTTCTCTGCAAACTCCTGATTGTTTGTCGCGCCACGTAGCTGGTATAACGGAAAATTGGGTCCCTGTGTCTTCCCGTTGTATCTTCCGTGACAATTAATGAGAGTTTTGGGGAGCCAACAGGGGACGATACTCTTGGCCCTCTTCCCCGTTTCCCTGGGCGGGTGTAGGTTGAAAGTGACAGGGTGCAGTGCACTTTTTCGCTCTCTTGCCGAACTTCTGAAGATAGAAGCAGATCAGCCAAGATGAAGGTGAAGATGGTGTGGATTTAGACGATGAGATCGCAGATGTGGATTGTGTTGGTACATTGATTTGAAAAGTCTGAGCGCAGGTCCCGGCTAGGAAATACTTATCTGCTTCCTGTGCGGTATTCAAAAGCAGGACTGTTATCCAGTGGGCTTTCAGTCTAACACGTAGGGAGTTTAATTGCTACTTGGCTCACCTCCATTGTGAAATAAAACTTCCCATTCCGTAAGAAGCGTCGGGATCACCTATGTAGAGCGGAGGAAATGACACCAACACGACCTTCTTCAATGTAGGACAAAATTGTAATGGAGGCGTAGAATGAAAAGGACAACACACTTATATTACAACAGTGAGCGATGACTCACTCCCCGGCGTTGGCACGATGTCATTGTGTGTGTGTGTGTGTAGATATGTGTACATATGTGTGTGTGTGTTTGTGTGTGTGTGTGTGTGTGTGTGTGTGTGTGTGTGTGTGTGTGTGTGTGTGTGTTTGTGTAAGCCTGCATGTATGATGTCGCTACAACCTCTTATTTCTAAACAACATCTACCTCTTGAATGATATTATATTCCCCCACTTACACAGATAGATTCACTTTTGGCATTTCATCCCTTGATCTTACCTTTTGTACTTGTACTCCTGGCCTAGTCCCCGATCTTGAGTAGTCGGTGCTGGATGACCGTATGGACCGTTTCACAATTCTTCTAAAACACGACGGCCTCCAAAATGACCCGATCCCAGAACGCTTCAATTTTTAAAACATCACACTGGGATAGGTTAGCCATTGAATGTTCCCAGAATTGTAACCCCGATTTTGACCCCAACTTCAACTAACTTCCTGAAATGCTTTTAGAAATATTATGTCACAAACACATACCAAAAACATATCCAAAACCCCGGAAGAACAAGGTCTGGTTCTCTGGTGAATGTAATGAAGCAATAAAGAAAAAGAAGGCAGCGTATCGAAGAATCGCCGACAACAACCCCACAGAAAACAACAATAATTGCTTAAAAGCCCGAGCGGAAAAACGTAGAGGAAAAGACATTCCTTCCGGAAATCAACAGTCAGACAAAGTTGACAAAATAGTGTAACATTTTTTTGGGTGGGCGCACATTCACTATACGGCATGTAGAGACGTCGGATGGCACCGTAACAGAAACACAAATAGACATTGCAAACAAACACAATAGCTACACCTCTCTAAGTAATTTATCCAAAACAAACTACAACACCACTTTCCAAATACATCAAAACTAACAGAGAACAACAACACCTAAACTTCCACTCAAACAACACAGAAACCTACAACGAAGACTTCACACAAGACGAACTTGCATCATCAGGCAGAGCCAGTCACTGTTTAGTTAGCGAGAGTGGACAAGAGATTGGCTGCTGATAATAGTTCTTCTTATTAAGTTTTAATCGAAATTAATATTCATCAACATTAAAATTACACCTTCCCTATAAAAATACGCCCAAAGAGACAATAAGGGTCGTCCATGTGTTGTCGCACCACAGAAACTCGTTCCTTTAATCTGTTTATCTCGCTGGCTCATAGGCTGGTAATATTTTGGCCGGATATGCCCTAACCTTGAACTAATTGCTTTAAAGCTCGTTATATGTTTTTTAAACTGGGAATACAGGACCCTTCTCACAAGCAAAAATCGAGGAAAATGTAATGGGGCAAAATGTGTTTTTTAGCGGAATAAAGGCAATGATTCAATTGCGCCGTCAAAATCGAATAATCGATTAAATCGAAAATAATCGAATAAATTCGTTTCAGAAGAGGGAGAAGGGGTGGGAGGGCTTTGCTCCCCTGATTACGGTTAGTTGAGGGTTACGGTAGGGTTAGTTGTCCGAGTGCAGTGTTTTCTTGAAAACTTGATTTGCGACCCGTTTTATGGCCATACGAATTTATTCGATTATTTCCGAATTTATTCGGTTATTCGATAGAGACAGAGACAGAAAGAGAGAGGGAGAGCGTGATGGGGGCAATGTTTGTAATGTCCTCCCTTCTCTCTCTCTCTCTCTCTCTCTCTC